CTGTGTGTATTTATTGGTTTGATCCGACACCTCGTTCTGTTAGCCTAGTTTTAATTTTAGCCTTAATTTTTAGTAAATTTATGGTTTGTTGACCTCTTTTAATGGTCCAATAACTAAAACCCAACTTTTAGATTTAAAACCTGTATTTTCTTGTGCTTTCCCGGCCACACAATACTTGTTATTCCAGCCGGGGTGTATCAGGTAACATTTAATCACTTGAACACGGACAGTTTGCCAAGATATGCTGTTGTTGTTGTGATGTTAGCTTCAACAGCAGGAGAGCCGTGAGTCTCGCTGTCTGGAGCTGCTGGGAAACCGTCCCGTCCTCTCTGCACATTAACTGTGCAGCAGCAACACTTTGCAAACCCACAACAGCTGATGTTGGTTGCATTACGTGCTATGTTGTTGCTTGCACTAAATCATGGTATCTGTCAAGGTGTTGGATTTTTCAGGAATTGTTTACACCACCTTTAAGCATTCACCAAAGTTATTACACTTCAACCTGACGGGGATGAAGTCTGAAGTTGAGATTATTCACTTAAAACCAAATAATGTAAACTTGGGCTTCAGGAAAAGGTCAGATGACCAATGAAGTCATGAAAATTCATCCACAAAGGACCTTGAATATGTTTGTTTAATGCTGCGACCACAGGATGCTGGTGGCGAGCAGACAACGGAACTGGGCTCAGTTAACACTTGGCTGTTATCGGTTACTTTAGCAAGTAAATGTAAAGCTATATTCCCATCAGGAAGATCTGAAATTTACTGGGAGTCGGAGGACGACATCAGGGGGAAAACCAGGAAATATTTTCTCCACTAAATATGATCCAGTTTCACCAAAATCCAAACAAATTCTGGTCTCATCTGTCATCTGACAAAGAGTAAATGTATTAAATTCAGTCCTCATATTGATATTTTCACCAACTATCTGCTAACGGAGATAACAGAGCTGCCTCTTGCACATGGTCGTCATTTAGTCTCTTGTACACCATAAACTAACTTACTGGCACCTCCATTGTGTTTGCATGCAGGCCGATACCTCAAAATCTAAAACTATCTGCATGTTTGTGTCATAATTTAGGTGAACTGACCCTTTAAGGACTGTTTGTGGACCGGGATGGGAGGGGGCGTTTTCAGACCTCTTCACAGGATTCACGCCATTTCCCACGACAGAGCCGAATGTCTTCAGCGTTCCTTCTGTCTTTCTTCACTCTTTCAAAACAGCTCTTGAAAGCGTGGTCTGACTCTGAGTTGTGTCATTCAAGTTTCGTAACCTTTAACCCTCGTTTGCTCCTCACGCACTCTTTCTTCATGTTTTTTTTTTTAGAAGAATGTGAAACATCCAAACATTTCCTGCAGAGGATTTCACAGCAGATTGACTTTGGCCACCACTTGCTTGCAGCCAGTCTGGGAATATTCATGCCCCCCTACCGCGGGGTAATACTCAATCTCCCCCGCGAGGCGCTCTATGTTAGTATGATCCGGGTAGAAGCCCTCTCGAGTCATTTCGTCCAGGAAGCACTCCATCACGTGACCTTTCTCCAAGAGGCTCAGAGGTAAGATGTCTGCCTCTGTCCACAGGAGGTGAAACTTCTCCAGGGTGTTGCGTAATATCGGAGTCAGCTCTTTTACCAGGTTACTATGGCGACCTGATGCTGAAATACTTGAGGAGTTGTGTAGCATATGTTTGGTGATGTGTGCGTGACCCAGGTTGCTCAGGAACAGGTAGATGGCGTTCAGGTACTCGTTGGACTGTTTGGACGCCACCAGTTGCTTCAGCGCGTCCAGGATCTCGTTGTGCATGTGCTCGGCCTCGTCGAAGATGAAGAGCGGGATCTTCTCCTCCTCCTCTGCGCGTTCCACCATCTCCGAGATGATAGCGGAGAGGTTGCGGGCGCACTGCAGGGCGTCGGCCTCCTGGGGACAGTGGTGGAGGACGTAGTACTGCAGCACCAGCGTCTCGCCCACCACGGAGCGGAAGTGTCCGGCCAGGAGGCGCCCCAGGTGGCTCTTTCCCACGCCGCTGGGGCCGTGCAGGGACACCACCAGGGGCTTGTTGTGGACGTAGGTGGACAGGTAGTCCTTCAGGTGGGACAGCAGACCCTCCACAGCTCCCTGCTGCCCGAACACCTCTCTCCTCAGCGTCTTCTCCAGCCCCTCCAGGTCGTATCTGAGAACGTGGTCGTCCAGGTTCTCGATGGCGTTGTACACCTGGAAAGAAAACAAGTAGAGGTCAATAAAACTGAACGTGTTTTTCCAGTATCTTCATAGTTCTTGGAGCTGCTGCATCAGTTGTTTTGGGTCTTTTTTCCTGATGTGAGCAGCTCATTCATATTCTTTGTACAATGTGAGAGAACAGGGCTCCGACTTTGTTCCATGACCTTCCCAGGACCTTTTCCAGGACAGCACTTGCTCACAAACGCTCATATAATTTACCGGCTGCTGTAGGCTGCTTACTATTGATACGTTTTACTGCGTTTTGATCCGCTTTACACTAAAATACAATTAAAAACTTCCCAGAACAACACAGATTATTTGCAGGACATTTGGTCATTTTAATCCATGACTGGAAAACTAGTCTCTAAATGTCCAAGTTTTCTAGGACATCAACAGACACACAGTTGAGGGTTCCTGTGTGAACAACTCACACATTAAAAAAAAACATCTCAAGGGGTTATTCCTAATAAAGATTTGAGGCAACAGTCTCAAATATGATAAGCAGCATTTTCAGTGTCACATTCCTAACTTTTTTACATTTCCCAGTCCATTTGTTTACTAATGCAAACTGTCTTTGTAATCTGTACCGATGGTGTCTTTGTTGTCCAAGTTTATTTTCCGCTCAGCTGCTGACATTAGCAAACTGGAAATAACAAACGACAGACAACAGCCGGATTAGGAAACCATGAGGCATAAATGATCTGTAAATGAGCCGAGACTCTTACTGAAGACTAGTTAATGATCTGAGGCCTGAATGACAACAATATATTTTTATTAATAGTCTGAATGAACACTAACATGACCGAGCACGTAGACAGTTGAGTCTATATTTCATCCCTCACAGTCACAATACAAATTCCTCACTAGGGTTGGGTTAGTCCATTCGGGCTGGGTTCATTTTGGTTTCTTTTCCTGTTAACAGACAGTTGCTATAAACACTTGTGGGTTTGAGCAATATAATAAATGTACCTTTTAGTAGCATGTGTGAGTTGAAATATGGCCACTTCTGGTTTAAACCGCCATTGTGTGTCACAAATGGATTCAGCATCCTCACTAACCCCCAAAAAACACTCCAATATTGTCCAACCTGGCCAAACAGTTGCTGAAATATTGTCCACTAAAGTGATTATTAATGCTAATTATGCTAATTGTATTTCACCTGGATGAAGACGATGGCGAAGAGCAGGTAGAGGCAGTACTTGGCTCGGCTGCGCTCCTGCTTCGGCGGGGCCCTGCAGCCTCCTCCGTTGGGATACAGCACCCGTTTCCTCCTCCTCCTCTTCTTCTTCTGAGGGACGGAGGACGACAGGGAGGAGAAGGCGAAGGGGGTGACTCCATCGAAGGTGAAGATTTTGGGGCTGGTTCGAGCCGGGGCCCCTGTGAGGGTCCCGGCTCCTGCCAGGCCCAGGGCCAGCTCCTGGCGCCGCTTCTTTATGGCCTGGTACTTCTGCTTGATGCGTATGACGGCGCGCAGAGACGAGGAGAAGCTGGACAGACTGGGGACTGGACTGGCCCTGTGTTTGTCATCTTTTTCTCCCTCGCCCTCTGCCTCTTCGTCCATCTCTTCATCCATCTCTTCATCCATCTCTCCCTCCAACTCCTCCTCTGTTTGAGACGCCGAGGCGCTGCTGTCCTGGTCACTCATCTGCAGAGAGAGAGAGAGAAACCAGCTATAATCAATATTTTCTATATTGTATATAAGAACAATATTATCTGTGTGCTTGGGCTTATGGGAAATGTAGTACGCAGGGCCGGTTGCACAAAAAGATCTGAATTAAGGTTTCCTTAAGATGTTCTCTTTCTCCTTATGTTGGTTTTAAATACTTAAAGAAATGCTCAGAGTTAGTTAAACCTTATAGGAAATAAACTTAAGGTACCTCTGCCTCCATCTTAGTCTTAATTTAATCTTAATTAAACTTTTATAGCCCATTATAGTCTAAACGTGAAGAGTCTAAATCTATAGCTTAAATATTTGTAATGTGTAATGAAATCAACAATAAATAACTTTAAGATGTCACCTTTATTACGAACAACTTGAGATTTCTTTCACTGCCAGTTATCATAGTTTATTTTATTCTTATTCTAACCTTACTTCAAGTGAGTTTAACTTTAATGCATTTACGTGTTGATGGTGCTCAGCCCATAGCGGCTTACAAGACATTAAAGCGACATGACAAATCATAATATAACGTTACAGTTCCACAAGTTCAAATAAAGAAAACATTTCATAATATTAAATTTTCATGACCAAAATGTCTAATTATGTTGGATACAGTGGTCTCATCTGCCTATGTTCCCACATTTCCTTTTTAACCCTAACCCTAACCCTAATGTGGGAAGGGCTGACCCCTCATCAGCGCTCTCCTCAAAGAGCCAACTCAACATTTCACCTTCAGACAACCAAAACAAATCAGGGTTCTTCATTTAGATTCATTCAAACAGTTTGTTCCTCACGTCACTGTACAGTGAAACAGAAAATTAAATCCATCCTCAATAACACGAAGATCACAGAGTGACCGTGGCAGCAGTAGCTTTTGTTTAATTATATTTATATTACACTGCAGATTGTTCCTGAATATAAAGTGTAAATCAGAAAGAGAAATATAGCAGAGCACAGACACATTCTTAGAAAAGAGATGTTTCTATCTTTATGGTTAACCTCTGCCCTCTGCTAACTGAGCAAACCGCTTCCACAGCCAAACTATTTCACATCTCTGCTTTTAAACCCCATGTCACCTTCAAGTTAAGTTGTTTTACCAGTTCTGTTGGATTCCTTTAGGATTTACATGTCGTATGGAATAAATCCTGTAATAAATTATAACCTTTATAGCACATTACAGTCTAAATGAGGCAGCCGACTTCGTTAGGTACCTAGACTATAACGTTAGCTAAAGTTAGTCTGAGGTCTATTCGAAACCACATACTAAATCTAGCACATAGTATGCAGTAGCTAGACTATATCGTAGTATAAATATGCACTTTAATGTGTACTGAAATCAACCATAAATAACTTGCTAGAAGATGTTATCTTTTAACTTCTTTAACTTCTGATTTCTTCTACCGTCAGCCATAAAGTGTGACCTTAACAGCTACTTGAGCTCTAACTTAAACATTTTTTTTTTACTAGTTTTGTTGATTCCTTTAGAATTAAAATTGTACATGGAATATATCCTGTAATAAATCCTAACTTTTATAGCACACTACAGTCTAAGTGAGAAGGCAAGTTATGATATTAAGCCTGCTTCGTAAATGATCATAGAGTCTTTGGCTGTGTACGACGTCAAATTGAGCTCGTAGGTCATTTCAACTGTATATTATGTTGTCATTGAGTGTTGCAGTATGTTTGTATGTGATTTCGAACAGTAGCCAGGCTATAATGTTAGCTTAAATTACTGTTGCAGTCTAGTTTAACTTCTGTACAGAGATTGTCAGCCACAGTGTAACCTTAAACCTTAAACATTTGTGATTAGTTACGAGCTAAATTATGATGTTAAGTAAGCAGAGGTAAAATGAATGGTTAAAAAAACTGCAAAAAATCTGAGAGATTAATATAAGATTTTAAACATTCCTGTAGAAGTATAAAAACATATTTAAAACCAGGGTTGTCACTATTTGTTGTACTTTTAATTCAGATTCACTCTCCAGTGAATTGACTACTGTTTACCACAGTTTTACTTGAACAGTAACAGTTAAAATTAAGTATAATTAATTATATTTTATTAAAAAAAATCATCAAAAAAATTTTTCCACCGGGCTCTCGTAAGAATTCAGTTTGTGGATCCAAAAAAAAAAAAAAAGGACACGACACTCGAAGATCGCTGAAAGTTTGTTCCATGTTTATTAAATTGCCTTTGAAGTGTCGCAGATTAATTTACCAACAGTTGAGTTTCAAACTTTAAGGTTAAATTAATTTTTTTTTTTTACCAGTTTTGTTGGATTCAAATACTGTTATAAATTCTAACTTTTATAGCATGTTACAGTCTAAATGAAAAGGGCAGTTATGTCGTTAAGCCTGCTTCGTTTGCTGGTGAGGCTATAACGTTAGCTGAAGTAACTGTCGCAGTCTAGTTAAAATCTACAGCTTAAATACTTCAATCCATATTTTAATTGAAATTTTATAATCTGCGCCACTGAAAACAAACTTTCAAACAATCTTTGAGTGTCAAGAAAAAATGTTTTAATACTTGCCCCTAAAATTCCTCAATTATTACTCATATATTATATATATTATATTAATCTGTCTTTTTGCAGTGTTTTAGAACCATTCATTTTACCTCTGCTTACTATCTCGCACATCACAGTTTAGCTCATATCTTACGTAAATTACATTTCAATAATCTCCTAATTTAAGCATTTTCATGTGAAATTTTGTAGTATTTTGATATGAATATTGTGTTTTTTATATAATTATAGCAGTGATTCCTCTGTGCACCAGTAGAGGCAGAAAACTTTAGGTGTTTATGGAGCTTTACCACACTATAAAGTCATATTTCACCCTCTACTACATTCATTTAATGTTATTTCTTTACAGTTTTGTCTCTTGGAAGTCTCTCAACTTTATAATGCTACAACATTATTCTGCTGTAGTACCAGTGTTAATGTATAAATACTGTCACAATTCAACAACCTGCATCTTTATTTTTAATGCCATAAAAAGACTCAGCTGCCAAACAGGAAAAGAAAAACTTTCCTTCCTCTCTTGTTATCAAATCATTAATTTCTCAACACCAGTACCACCCACGCTTAGCGAGGCTGGTACTCGTAACCACAGACAGATGTTAAACTGCTATGTCATGCTGTCACTTGCAGCGCGGTACGAGGCCGACTTCACATACATCAGCACGTAGGTTGGAGCTACTGGGGGGGTCTAAGAGAGGAAGAGTGTGAGAAATAGTTGCCGGTGTGGCGGCTATTTCCTCTCGTCTGACGGTAAAGACCAACAGTGTTGCAGCAAGAGGAGTAAAATAACTAGAATTAAGGAAGTAACGCCAATGAAGCAAAAAGAAAATAGCTTCAGATTTATGACAGCGGTGATGGAAACGATGAGAGGATTCTGGGTAAACTGTGTTTTAATAACATCTCTGATATCACATCCCTCTGTTTTATCTTCTCATCACACCTTTGTTTTTTTTGTTATCTTACACCTTAATCTGATCAGTTTATTGCTGCTTCATAGACTTCCACGCTTACATAACACGGCTTTCCAGGCACAGACCTCCCCCTTCCCTCCCCACCACATTGATTTTCCCTCCAGCAAAATATTCAAATCAAGTGAAAAATACTCTGGAAACGTTTGTGCAGAAAGAAGGAAGTGCGATCCATTCAGGAACATTCCACCTGTGTGGAGGTGCACACAAGGGAGAGCTTTGTAGCAGCTTTTGCATGCATCATATACGCAAAATCTCCTTCAATTACATTATTTGTTTTTTTTTTCCTGCAACTCTGACTTAATTAAACACTAAAGTTCATGCATCTTCATGCAAATGATTCACATTCTTCAAGTTTAGTCTGCAAAATGAGACTCTAAATGTGAAATCAAGAGGGGTGGTTTTATAGCACGTAGTGTGACTTTCTGGAGGTCGACAGAAAAAAGGAGGAACTCTCAGTTACACCCAGAGGTTGGGTTAACAACTTAAAGTTAACACAATCAATACTCAAATGCCTCTGTTGCTGGCAGGAGGAAGAACAGCTGTAATCCCGTTAAGAAATGAGCTCAGTGTTAAGCATTGTGTGACTCTGATCTGGAACTGGATATTAATCTTGGCTCAGATGAAGGTAAAGTTATAAAACTCAGAGCCTCTTTTACTTCAGCACAAAAGAATCCAGCACAGCACACAGGGGGGAGAGAGAGAGACACTATCAGTGCTTTATCTTGTCTTTTCACATGCAGGGGCCTGAAAGGACCGGTTGCATACCAGGCAGTTTAGAGCTCTTTGATGATGTTTACTGTGCTTAAAAAAAACAAAAAAGTCTCTTAAAGTCTAAAAACCTCTTAAGTGACCATTTCTTCTAAAACTTCCAGCTGAGAGAAAGAGACACAGGTTGCAGGTTGCAGGTTTTAAAGCTTGTCTAAAAATAAGCCTTTTTCTTGTGTGGGGTTTTATTTTCTCAGATACTGAGTTACTACCTCACACCCAGCTGCACACACATAACTTCACCCTGCAGCCTGTGTGTGTGTGCAAAGCAAATGAGAGGAAAGGGGAAATGGCTGAATGAAAACTGAGAGAAAACATACAAGGAAAAAAAGCAGTTTTCTTACCTTCAATGTAGCTTTAATGCTTCTAAAGAGACTTTTTCTGTGTAGGTTTAGTCCATAGTCTTGGGAGTGGAGGAAGGAGAGAACAGCCCCACACAGCAAAGCAAGCTCAACTCAGGAAGGGCCCTCCTATCTGTCTATCTTACCTCCGAATCCTGTTCTCAACCATCTGCAGGCTCCTCCTCTTTTATTCTCACTCTTCTGTCCAGTTTCTGCTTTTTTCAAAGACACATAATACACCATGCCGGGTTCATTTCACAGCCGCTCAGTGCTGGGTTTTTAAAAACAGACCACATCTAAGTCGAGTGCTCGCTTTTTCTGAAGGTATTTAAAGGTGGAAAACAAATCCGAACTTCAAAACCCCAAGATTAATTTATGAATTAAACAATTAAACGTACCTGTATGATCGTTTTAATCAACAAGGAGGATATCATCATGTTCTGAGATCTAATTTTAGCTGATTTTATTCATAATTTGTTCATAAAATGTTCTTATTAGCAGTCAAAATGTTCCTTTCATCTGTGTTAATGTCCGCCGGGTCTAGAATCCAATTATCTGAATTTTGAGGCCTTAAAATGTCTAAAATATGATTTCGATAGGTCTTAAGAATTGATTGGATTAAATGTGTTTTTGGGAATAAAACATGCATTGATCACGCTGTCAAAACGACAAAACTCAACCCATTTTCCTTCACATCCTTTGTATGTCGTTGCCAGTATGGCCCCTATAAAGGTCTGAAACTGCATTCATAATGGTTGTAAAAAGGTCAAACCTGCAGAAACCCTGCTAATCAAAGGATGTGACACTGTGGTCGATGAATTATTCATGAGTTATATGGAAAACATGATTAATCACAAAAGCATGTTGGGTGATCTAATCACGAATATGTCAGTTATGTATCATGGGGCCTTTTTAATGACCCCAGAGGTCATAAACTTTGTAATCCGACTCCACTACGTTTACCTGACAGCTCGAGTTACTTTACAGATTAAGATTTTACAGACAAAACGTATGATCATTAATAAATAAAATGTAAAGGTATTGGTAAAGTGGTTAAGTTAGCTCCACCTCCACCAGCTCCAACATTAAAATGCTTCGTACACGTTCACACATAAGTGATAATATAATAATAGAAGTCATACAGGAACATTTCAGCTGCATAATTTTACTTTAAGTACTTTCACTTCAGTAAGATCCTCAGAGGATGAACTGTAAACTCTCCATCTACCAGATTCATCAGTGAAACATTTGTCCAATATTTGACCAAATAAACTAATGACAACCTCAGCTGCACTTTGTTTGCTGCTAATACATTCTTTATTAGGAATAACCGTTTGAACCATCTCGTTCTCAAGAGGATCCCCAACAACAGAAAGTACACAACTAAACAGAAATAATGAAGTATCTCGTTCACAGCCTGGAGCGGTTGTGTTAAATGTTAGCATGCTAACATGCTAAACTAATACTGCGAACACTGTAAACATTATATCTAACATGCTGGTGTGTTTGCATTTAGCTCATAGTGCCTATAGGTTCACAGAGCTGCTAGCAGTCGTAGTGTTATAGTTGTGAGCTGAATGCCCCTAAATGATGTCATTAGAGTAAAAACACTGACATTTTGCCGTCGGCAAGTTAAAATGTGACAGAAAAAAGAAGCTGGGATTTGTAGATTGAATTGAATATAGATTTTTGTAGTGTAACTGATTTCAACCGTAATAAAAAGACAGACATTCGCTGGTTGAATGTGAGGAGTTTGTCTTCTATGACAGGAAACGATGACATTGTTTAAATAGCTGTCATACTATATGTCACACCATAGTTGTGTGGGTGTACGAGTGACTGTACAGGTCATATAAAGTTATGAATAGGAAACCGAGAGGTGTGGAGGTTTTTGCATACTCATTTGATTACTACTGATCATTTACCTGATTAGTCTCAGTTACAAGCTGTTTTGTAGATTCAGATTATTAATGCGGAACGTAAAAGTCAATAATTATATAATCCAGTAATATAATATGGGCCATTCTGCATAATGAACCCTTGTAGTTTGGATATTTGAACTACATTTTGATGATTTTGAATGCAGGACTTGATTCTGGCGCCCCCTGTGGACAGAAGTGGTAGTGTTTCCACCGCCTTGTTTAATTGATTTAAAGGGGAATATAACTATAGAAACAGCCAATCTTCTCTCTGAGGGTCTTGTTTGTTTATGTAGCTCATATAGAGGCATCAGGATGAAGTTGAGACTGTTTATAACCAGTTAAAAACTCACTGTAGGTTTAAGTAACAGATCTGAGTACTGCTTCCTTTACTGTGACTAAATATTTTAAATTAAAGCCTGCTACACGCTGTACCTCACATACATGATTAAACTGATATCTAGCAAACCAGATTACCTCATATTTGGTATTAAAGGACCAGCAAACATTGCAGGAGGCACATAGCAGGAGGTGTGTAGGATTTAGTGGCATCTAGTGGTGCAGTTGCAGATTACAACCCTCTCATCTCACCCTCCCGTTCCAAGTGTGTAGGAGAAACTACGGTGGCTGCAAAACTTGTGAAAGCCCAAAAAGGTGATGGTGGCCTCTGTGAACGAGGAGCCACTCGGAGGCTCATTCTAAGGTAACAAAAACACAACAAGTCTTATTTTCTGCTGATTCAACACTAATAAAAACATACATATTAATACCATATTCCAGTTCTGCCAATAGATCCTCCTCAGTGTTTCACACACAGTGTCGCAGTGATGAAACCGGACCATTCAATCACAGTTTGTATTGGACAGTGACTAAACTAAGATTGCGAACACTGTAAACATTATACCTAACATGCTGGTGTGTTCACGTTCGATGGTGTGAAAAGGATGAGACAGTATGAAGTCACGAGCTTGAATCATCCCTCAGTGATTTCTCTGTACACAGTTTACTTCCAACAAGCTGCTGTGAGTAAACTGTTAATGTTGTAGTAGGAAGAGGGGGATTAGTCACACAGAGGACGGCAGCCTCGGGGCAGATGTGGCAGTTTGCAACTACAGCAGTCACACGAACAATGAAAGCTGCCCTTTGTTGCTACAGATATAGTATATTTGTATTTTTAGCACCGTGCAGGTTATTGTGTCATTCAGCAGCAATCTGACAACAGAGCGACATTATCGAATGCTGGAGGACGACTTTGGACTGAAATTGAGATTTAATAGCAAAAAAAAACCTAGAAATAGTGCTGTCCAGTTAGGATGTTTATCAGTCAGCTGCACACACACGTGCCTGTGGACACACACCACATCCTTTTTCACTCATGTAGTTAGGGTAAAAGCACAAACTGCACTAAGAAATCAGTGACAGAAGTGGCATTGATCCTCTCAGCTACTGTTACTGATCGATAAAAGCACAATCCTTGAAGAAAAGTGAATGAATCTGCTTCATCTCGTCTTCTTTTAGACCCCAGATCTCGTACCTTTAAGGTCAGAGATCACTGCAGCGTTTTCAAAATACGCTGTGATCGTTGCTTTGTATACAGGACAGATGTACAGACTCACACAGGTATAGGTGAGAAAACATGACCTCGATCAGTGGATCTTTACCTTACCTTACTACACACAGTTTGAACCTGCTTATGAAACAGTCTTAGTTTCTTACTAGGAGTCCTCAGCTGTCAGTCTGTCATAGATTTATTACACACTGAAGCTCCACCTCAATTTGCAAACCAAATGGTGTTTATTTTCCTCCTAAATGCAAATGTGTGGATTTATATATCCGATTCATAATTACTGTTTGTTCGCTTTAGTGGAGCTGCTTCCTGGCAGATACAGTAACACCCTGTGGTCCTCGTACCCCTGGTTGGGAACCACTGACTGAAGGTTAAACATGCTTCCTGCTCCCCCCTAAACGGCCTCCCTGTCCCTGGACTTTCCAACACCAGACGGGGCAACAGGGTGGCTCAATACCTCCCCTCCCTTCCGCTCGTTGAGTGCTTCGGAGAAATAACGTTCAAAGGAAGACAAAGGTTTCAGCGTTTTACTTAAGAATAGACAAAAAAAAGTGAAATTTAAAAGGATTTATGACAAAACTTGGTCATAATTCTCCTTTACACAAAGCAAACATTCATCTACCAGCATCTCTTTGTCTTTCACGTAAAAGGAAAACTTGACATTTTAAAGAAATATAAAGACGTCAGCCAGACCTTGATAAGAAGAAGTACTATTACAGGGGTTAGACTCCACAAATGAGCAGAATTTTGATCAAATAAATATCATTCATGACCAAAATAGATTTGTTTTTAGATCTGGAAATAGCAGAATAGATTTACATCACACTGGTGGAAATATTTGGAAACCACAAAGCTTGCAGTCTTTAAAGATTCAGCGATCCACCCACATTCCCCTCGTCTCCTCCCGTGGAAGCTACGTTGCGTTAGGATGGGAAATTGTGTGGGTAAATAACATCACTATTCACGCTTTTCTTCAATAAGCTGAGCGTCTTCACTCCTCCTCCTCCTCCGAGTGCTTTCTGGAGAACCACAACGATGCAGACACACGTTTAACAGAAAAAAAGGAGAGCCATAAACGTGTCCACTCTGGGAGGCAGCGACAGTTTCTAGCAGTTTCCAGGAGATTGTAACCGCTGCCTACTTCCTCTTCCTGCCCCGGCCTCTCCTGCCTCTGCCAGAGGACGGGCCCGCTCCGGCCGGGTTGTCCGACGGGCTGGCCCCGATGTTGATCTGTCCTTCTTGGATTTCGCTGCGAGCCTCCGGAGTGAGGTGTTCAATCTGCTGCTGCGTTTCCAGATAGAACATCACGTCTCTCAGCTGCTCCTGAAGCTCTCCGATCGCCTCGTCCTTACGCTCGCCTGCAGCAAAACACGCACAGCGAACACGTCTTAAACACACCGCAAAAGAGGCTTGACTTCAACTTTCACATATGAATAAAATCTTTTAAACACACTGACTTATTTCCACATGCAGCAGTTACAGAGCAGCATGATCCTTCACTTGCAGTCGTGTTTGTGTCCACCTGATGAATTTAAATCCAATATTCACTCTACAAACTCCTGAGAGAAATATCTTCAGCTGCTAAATGTTCCAGCAGTGAGCTTTAAAGAGCTTTCTCTCTGAAAGCAGCTACCTGTTGTGGCTGAAACAACGTTATGAGAGCGGTGAGAGGGAACCAGACAGATCAACAATAGTCGTGTTTCCATCTAACTGTCTGATCTGAAGCAAACTTTAGAAATGTCACAAAAACAAAATAGAATCCATCAACAGTTTTGAAGTAAATAAACTAGAACATAGCGTAGTTTTGTCTGACGTTTGCGCTACAGGCTACGTAATGGCGCCGGTATTGGCGACATGCAGCAGCAGTTTTTTATAACTTCATGAGATATTTGTATTTATGTACTGAGGGCACTTTATTTATTTTGTTGTCTATTGTTTAATTGTCCGGTGATGATGATGATGTATATACTGCTGACTGTATAACAAATTGCCCTTCAGGGTTAATAAAGCTACCCTTGAACCTTGGACTGTAATAAACAGTAGAAGAAGAAGAAGAAGGTCAAACAGAAGCAAAACCAGTCGTTTTCCAACTGCCAATAAACCTCGAAGAGAAGAAACAAAACCAGTCGCTCAGAAGTCATCAGTCATGAGATTTAAATATTCGCGACGTATCGCGTTTCCATTTCTTATTAAGTGGGTTACCTCATTTTTAAAAAAGGCAAAAAAAAACCACCAACCAAACCGACCGATATTGATTATAGACTCTTTGATGCATCATAACGAAGCATCAGCCAATCACTGACGGATGCACTGCTCCCTTAACCTATAAACCATGATGGTAATAAAACCTGTGCTTGCTCCCAGACTCCAGTGTAACGTACTATAGGATGTATACAACCACTGCCGGCCTCAGGGCACAGCTGTGTGAACTTCCTGTCTGCACACCAGAGACTGAAATAAACTTTTAGTGAGAGAAGAAACCCGGACAAGAAATAACAATCCTCATCTTCATCTCCATAATGATGAATAATAAATAAAAATGCTTGCCACAGATGAGCTGGTGTAGAATTTCTCTACACACTCCTGTTGACTCTCAGAGGATGTTGGATAGAGAAATGTCAAAGAGGAGTTAGTGGTAGTTTAAAAACAGTACCAGAGAGCGCGGACAAGCACGTTAGCAGCCTGGCTACAGGGATGAAATATTGGTAGCACTTTAGTCCAACACCAGGGATCAGCAACTTCTACTAGAAAGAAAGAAGACAGAAAATCTGTCAGGAGCTGCTAAACGTGTTAAATGTGCTCATTTCTTGCAGCAGATCAAACGTCGGCCAGCAGTGTTGGTGGTAAAAGCAAACAAATCTGTCCACCAACTGTTAGATTCTCTCTCTCTTCTTCTTTTGGGGATTTTAAAAAAGAGAATTCTAACTACAGAGACTGAAGACTAGCAGGAGTTTCAGCAGGAAAAGGTGGTCAGGTGAACATTTTAGTTAAGGAAATGTTCAAATATTCTTAATCTTAAAACTCTCTGTGTGTTTGGACATTTTTACAGTTGGAGAATGTTAATAATGATAATAATAATAATAATAATGATATACAACAATGATAAATGAAGACAAAGCTGCAGGTTGCCTGTCGAGACTGAGATATCTCAACAACTGTTGGATGGTTTCCATGAAATCTTCAAACATTAATGTTCATTATTAACTGTAATAACTTGATTCATCCTCTGATTTTTCATCTAGCGCCACCATCTGGTCAAATGTTTAACTTTAGTTATAAAATACACACAAAACTAATAATAATCTAACACGCTACACTATGATGGTGACCATTATAGCTGCTAAACATCAGCATGTTAGTATTATCACTGGTAGAATATTATCACGCTGACGTCAGTGTGTTTTATTTCTCTAGGAGTCGTTATCTTTGCACCGATATAGTGAAACACCTTGTAGCTCTGTTAGTGAGTTAGCTTGAGTGTCGTAACCACGTGAGCTACCAAATGTCAAACGCACGAGTATAACCATAACATCATAAAACTTAACTAACAACACAAACACACACACACAAATGAGATAACAGTGGTTCACATTAAGAAACGTCAACAGGAAACTTGTGGTGATTCTAAAAGACTCCAACAGGAAAGCACATATAGTGGCTGAGCTGCAGATGTGGATTAAACGTCTGAATGCCGCTCATCATAACAAGTGAAATGGCACAAACTGTGTGTGTGTGTGTGTGTGTCTAAACAGAGAGCACACTCACTGAGGGACATTTGTTTAAACAGTCCTCATCCTCCGAGCTGAGCGCTGAAGGAAAAATACAGGTATGTCTAAACTGAAGACCTAAAACTTCCGTTCAAACCTCCGACTTGACATTTACGTCGCCCTCGGGCAAAGCAGGGACTCAAACGTCCACATGTCTCTGATGATGTTCCCGTATAAAAACACACACTTAAAGTAGTAGTGAAGACTCTCTTTCAGTGTCTGCCTTCATACACAAACAGGGTTGTTTGACGAGGACTCTCAGCCGTGGACTGAAGCTTCAGAGACTCCTCAGAAAGTTCTTGATGCTGACGTGTGATTTCTTCCGTCCTTCATGTGATACAGTTACGGCTCTGTAGGGGCAATTTGTTTATGATTTGCATATTTTACCGTATAAATAAGGAAGTACTCTACGGCAGAACAAAAATAACTTCAGGTCTAGCTTCAGGTGCATAGGGCTGTTGCTATGTGGGGGTACGGCCATGTTGTGTTCCTGTTTCGTATCCCTGAGGCGGTCCTTTCTTTAGTCATTTATTGGGTGTCAGCAGGAGACCTGGTGAACGAGCAGCTAGCTTATTTAGATCCTCCTGGATTCACATTCATTTTATAAATTGAAATAATTGTCATTAAAACACACATATACATATATGTATATATATATATGTATATGTGTATGTGTCCATCCTGAGAGAGAGAGAGAGAGAGAGAGAGAGAGATCCCTCCTTTGTGGCTCTACCTGAGATTTCTTCCATTTCTTTCCCGGTAAAAGTTTCATGTTGTAGTTTTTCCTGTCTCAAATCGAGGGTCTAAAGATGGAGGCTGTTGAATGTTGTACAGATTGTGAAGCTCTTTGTGATTTTGGGCTATATAAAGACATTTTGGAGCCAGCAGCAGACGAGCTAATGAGACCAGGGGTGTGTAGAGATGTGCCGAGCCGTTCTGAGTATATTCTGATGGATCAGTACTGGCTAAAATAAACCAGATCAAATTATTGAACTCTTCTTTTTGTCCTCCTCAGACTGCAACTGCTGCAACTCTACAGTGTGTTTTCTCTCCTCTCTCTCAACAGCAAAGTGTACATCACACTCTGATCGCAGCTTCTTATTCTTAGCTGGCAGCAGATCGTATCAGCTCTTGTTAATTAGTGTTCATTCTGTGAGAACCAACGGGGTGAGAATGAAACTGCAGCCGCCTAAAGAATAACTGCATTTACTTTACTTACTATTCAGAACCTGGTTCCCTGTTGGTGGAATCTGCACCGCTGTACAACTGCAACAGAGAGCTACACCTTCTCCAGTTAAAGGATCTGACTGATTGTGTCAATGTCAGGACTCACAGTCTCCAGTTAGACTTTCCATCATATTATATCAATAATTTAAGCTGATTAACTTTGTAGTTTGAACCAGGACCTTCAGTATTTGGGTCAGATTGTGACAAACAGGGAAATAGGTGTGGCACATTTAGATGACTCAGACACATATTAACTAAACATGTTTTAAGTATTGGATCAGATACACAAAGGACTTGGGTTTGACCGGGCCTTCCCTACTGGCACTGTATTAAAATGATCTATGTCTATATATCATCTCGGCACAAACAGTTAAAGTCCCATCATGCAACCTTTCTACCTTAAATAACAGCTTCTCTTAAAGCTTTATGGCAGTGAGTCACACACCACCAACTCTATGCCACTGACTTCGACTGAAACTGGATCAGATTTTATAGAGTAAATGTTTTCTGCTTTTTCCCTCTCTGTGTTTTACTGACGGACTCCTGGGACTGGGTGTGAGAGGAGAGCTGGTTGATGTTTGTCAGCAGAGTTGTTGACTCCCTGATTTTCGACAAATAATGTAATCAGAACAAATGCAACTGCAGCGTGAAGCTGTGGGACTCTACATCGTGTTGGATGGTTTAGGTTCGTTTTCACGGCCTCCTCCTCACTTACAGTTCTCTTTTCCTTTGCGCTCCTCCTCGGCCAGCTGGGACTGCAGCTGGACCTGATTGGCTCTCAGACAGCGGTTCATCTCCTGCTCCTCCTTCAGCTCTTGGCTCAGCTTCGCCACGCGAGTTGTCAGCTGAGTGCACCTGGATGTACAAACACAGAGCTGTTGGCAAGTTCTCCACTAAAACAACTCCTCCACGCTCTTTAAATGTACTGGACCCTTTTTCACTGAGTAAACTGACAACACCGCACTAAGTGACATATTTAGTGATAATAAACAGTACAAAACAACTGAATAACTGTAGGATGAACCCAAATTGTGCACTTTAGATGAATTTTTAACAGATTATTTCCTGTAAATATTACATTAGAGGTGAGTTTTCTGATGGTTTTAGGAACTTTTTAAACAATTCTCTGTCAGTGTTATGTATTTTTTATTTTTTAACCATCATACCTTCGATCTAACAAAGACATTCTCTTAGTTTTCTTCACAGAATTGTATATTTTTAAAGTTTTCTTACACCCCTTGAAATCAAGAAGCCCTCACGACCCACCATGAAGCTTTGGCGACCCCTGCTCGGGGTCCTGACCCTCAGGTTGGGTCTTAAAGGAAAGGAAGTTTTCCCCTTAGAAGGACATTTGAACAACAAATATTTTGACTTGTCACAACAGGAAAATAACAACCAGTAAGGTTAATGATGTGAGCCAGCGTGCTCGACATACAGACCTGGAATGGACACACCTAATCAACGCTGTTAATAACACCTGTGCTTTTCCTGTTTTAACATGTCCAACTGCCTGTTAATGCACCTGTGACCTGGCCCAGCATGCACAGAAATACACATTTAAACACCTGACTTCATTAAACTGGACTGGTTTTGTAGTTCGGGTGATTCCAGTTGAGGATTAAGATGTTTCGGGGGTAAAATACTAGCGGTGTGCTTGTGTGTTTGTTTAAGCCTTTGTGTACAGGAGCACACTTATTGATTCACTTCCCTCCACTTTCTAAATGCATTTGAATAATTTAGCTGTTTAGAAAGCTTTGTAAAAACGTCTTTAATGTTTATGTAACTTTTATTGCTGCGGTCTGACCTCAAATACCCTTTAATGCCCTTTAATGCCCTCTGCACAGGTAGGGGTGTCAGGAAATATCGTATTGCGGTGCTGTGAATGTAACCTGAGTTACTAACTAACTGTTGGATGTGATTTCTTGCTCAGATTTGATGCAGTTTTCAATATATCCAATATATCATAGTTTACAATATATGTATATATGAATTGTAACCCCTGTATTATGATACGTATCGTAGGTACGCAGGTATTATAACTTCCCTCCATCGCCTTCAGTTGGTTCAAAATGCTGCAGCTAAGTTTATCACATGATCACATAACTAACACTAAATGGGAGATTACAGTTCAGTAAATATGTTTTAAAAGTTCACAAAAATAAGATCAAATTCAATATGGTCAAAGAATAACGTCAGAAAATTAATGTCATATTCATAGGAAGTAATAATATTAAAATAGGAAAACCTTCGACCTTTGTCTGTAAATGACAGAAACAAAACAAAACAACAGAAAAGGTGTGACAGGTACGAATAACTGCGATGAGACTAACGAGCCTTCACCTACTTTTTCTCCATGCTCTGCTTGTCTTTGCTTATTTCGGTGAAGCGCCGCTCCAAGTTATCGCAGCGCTCCAGGGTCTCCTTAAATTTAGCCTTCATGTTGTTTATCTGGAAGAGTTGAAAAACACAAATGAGAAAATATATCGTTGATATCAGCAAAGAAAACCCAATAAAAGCCGGCAGTGTTGTGTTTAGCACTCAGTACCTCCTCGGCCGTCTCCTTCTCCAGGTGAACGATCTTATTCTCCCAGTAAATCCTCTGAGACTCCAGTTGACTCGTCAGCAGGTACGAGTACTGCGCACACGGAGAATTCATTACAACGTTTCTCTGTTCGTTTAGCAAACTAAGCTAAGAGAGAAAAGGAAATACTTACCTCTAGTTGAAGTGCGTCAATTTTCTCAGCGTGGCAGGTGTCTCCCTCGCATTCATACTGCACCATCTTCCCGTCGGTCTTACTGGCCACCAGCCGATGCACGTAGTTATCTGGAACCACAAAGATCAGCTCACGTGGGTCAGTTAGCAAAAGAAATCCACAAATAAAATGTGTTTAAAAACACATTTGTATATTTTATGATTACTCAAATGTTTTTTTTATTTTGTTTCATCTCTCGTGACATATGCACATGATCTTTGCACATATTGTATTTTGTGAAGAACCTTGTAACTTTTGAGAGGAGCCAAAGAAATTTTGTTATTAAGCAATCAGTTTGACAGCAAATCAATTGGCAACTATCCTGTTAAACGCTTCATTGTTTGAGTCACTTATTTAAGCAAAAATGCAGAAACATTCACTGGTTCCAGCTCCTCAAACGTGAGGACTTGCAGCTTCTCTCTGTTAAATATTATTGTAAACTGAACATTTTATGGGTTTCGGACTGTTGGACGAGCAATCTGAATAAATCACATCTGGCTTTGGGAAATTATAATGGTCGTTTTTCATTTGAAGGGCGATAAACAAAGAGAAGAATTGGCAGATTCAAGGGAATGTCGATTCCCAATAATTTAAGTTTTGCTTTAGGTGTGTTTTTTTAAATGAGAGAAATCCTCCAAGAGCTCAGAGGAATAAACGTTCTACAATCTACATTTCCATAACAGCTGAGCAACTCCGTCTGCTAACAGATCATGTAGTGCTCGGACAGTTTTGCCCACAAATGAATGCTAAGTTGCTCTGTGTCAACTGCTTGCTAACACATCAGCCACAACGACTTCATTAGGGGGTTTTATCAACTCGTTTATCAATCATCAGCATCCTGTTACTGCCGATTGCCTCCCACAGACGCAAACTCAAAGCATGCACTGCAGAATTATCCCCTGGCTGCATATGTATATAAATATCTGATATCATTCTGCCCTCTAGTGGCCAAAACTGATTAAAGTAGCTTTAATAGCCATAGATTCTCACAATTTACTATCTCCTCCCTAAACTCCACACACACACACACAGAGTACCTCCTGCGTAGTCCCAGACCCGGTGGTTGGTGAGCTGCATAGCGTAAGTATGCTGTGTTTCCTCAAAGTGCTTGTAGGCATGCCGGCTAACGTAGCGACCACAACCGATGTGGCCGCAGATCAAACAGATCCACAGGTTCTGCAGAGGAAAGAGCAACGTGGAGGAGAATCAGAAAGAGAAGGTCTGGTGGAAGATACAGCGGCGGACGGACGTCAGTTACCTCCTGCACGCCGCACTCGAAGCACTTGTTCTCTTCCACTGGTTCTGGTGTTTGGCAGTACCTGCACACAGGACACCTGGAAACAGAAGCACACATTCATCTATTGTCACACGTGTGCGGCGGCCCTTTGTGAAACAGAAGAATACACGTAAAGAGGAGGACAAAAACAACAACACGTGACACGAAGCCCGGAGAAATAACCAGGGGACGGAGGATCAGGTGAGAGAGCATGTGACTCTGCCATCAGTGAGGAAGCTTCCTTTATCTACAGATTTAAACTACATCTAATGAACTGTTGCTGAAGTATATTTTAGTCACATCCATAATAGAATAATAGAAGTCCAGGATAAACTCATTTCTACGGTACTGCAGGATAAAAGTCTTTTAAATCTTGTAGTGTTGTCTGCTTATTTACGCCATTAGTAATTCATGAGAGCAAATATCAAGTACTGTAAATGACTGCGAGTGGAAGAGCCAGGGATTTCACACACACACACACAGGCCCAATGCATCATTATACAGGACAGTGTGGTCATTCATATATGTGTGTGTGTCTCTACACCACTCACGAGGCGTCTTCCCACCGCTGGAGACACTGGCTGTGAAAGCTGTGGTTGCAGAGAGTGGTGAGGATGCCGTTGACCGACTCGTCCATCCTCTCCAGGCACACGGTGCACTTTGGCAGCTCGGTCAGCTCCATCACCGGCAGGCTGGCTCCCTGAGGAAGAGGGAGGGGGGGGAGACAGAGGGGAGGGGGGGAGAGAAAGGAGACAATGTGCTATAAGAGGTCAAAGGTCTGCAGGTTTTTAATCCGGAGGCTTCATTTCAACCGTTTCTTCCTTTGTTCTGGTTGAAAGATGATCATCGATGTAAGTGCTGCACAGACAGGACTGTACCACCCACTGTATGCTTTATGAACATTAGGGCTGCAACTAACTATTATTAATTATTGATTAGTTGATTCATTGTTGGATCTATAAAATGTTACAGAATATTGTGACAGATTACAAATAACGGCCGACCATTGTGGATGATATCGTAGTGACGGAGAATCAAAGATAAAAGGAAGATTGTTTTAAAAATGGTTAATAAATTAAAGAAAAAAGGTAAAGTTGTTCCTCCCCACAGGCTCAGTTCACCTTTCATTGTATGTTCTATCCTTTTCATTTCTCCTCCTTTTATCCTGTGTTATTATCATATAATAAAGTTTTAAAGAAAGTGCCCTCAGGAGTGAACAGTTCACCTCTGGAAAAGATAACGTTCTCACTGAGGAATAAAACCTTTTATCAACTACACGCAGAATTTCCCATCTCACATGATTCAGTCATCGTCTGCACGCTCTCTCTATTTTCACCACAGCAGTGTTATAAAAAGAACCATTGTAGTGAGCTTACAGCGAATTTATGTCTCGTTTTTTTTCCTAAAAAAGTTCCAGAGTCCGATCTTTAAATGTCTCGTTGTGTTCAACCTACAAAGATATTCAGTTTACAACGATTAAAAAACTGAGAAGGAGAAAATTCTCACATGTCTGCTTGAAAAATGACTTTTTCAAACAACCAGTTTTTCAAAATAAGATTATTTTTTGTGGACTAGGAAAACGTTTTCCAGGGCAGCACTCACCTCACAAACGCTTATCTGCTTTCTAAATTGACAGTTTACAGTTTTCCTCTAACAGTGACATTAGCACAGCCTAAATACAATTAAATTCTTTTAAAAATGTGACTATTTCCAGGATATCTCATCATTTTAATCAATTTCCAGGTGTTATCATGACTGGAAAACTAGTCTCTCAAGTTTTCCAGGACTCGTTGGAAACCTGTAAACATTAAAAACTGAAGAATCTATTTTTTAAGACTGAACAAAGGAGTGAGTGAGCTGCCAAAACATTTGACTGACTAATTTTACCAGCTCTAGTAAGTTCACTAGAAAACACTCATTTTAAAATATTGTTTTCCAGGACCTTTCCAGTTTTTCTCGACCATACAGGACAGCACTCGCTCAGCACAACGATGATGGTCGTGGTTTAGGAGACATGCTTTCGTGGTCCGCTCGGCTTTTCTAATCACAAATTAAATTAAAAATGTGATCTCCAGGATATTTGGTCATTATTTGGGGCAGCAGTAGCTCAGTGTGTAGGGACTTGACTTGCTCCTGCACCACTGCTCCTAATGTATATAGCGTGGGTCAAGTTTCATTTCATGTATGTAAAATCTTGTAAATGCTGTATATACTGTGAAAATGACAATAAAAAGACTTTATCTATTTATCTTTGTCTTAATCGATTTCCAGGTGTTTCCGTGACTATTCTGTAAATGTTCGGGTTTGTAGGACTCCAGGAAACCTGTAAAGGTTAAGAACTGAGTCGGTGGAGAATACCGGGTATATTTACCTCTTCAGACTTTATAACCTCTGCCCGCTGCACATACACCAGTTGGCACACGGCGTCCTCGATGGAGTTGAACTGGCGGCCGTTACACGCCGTGTAAAAACTGTCTGCGTCTGCCTGAACAAAGACAGAAAAGAAGAAAAACAGCATTAAGTCAGAAACATCCTCCACACACATCACAATACATCAGACTAACACTTACTGTATGACAGAAAACATCCCATGAATGTGATGCTATTAAGCTAAAAAAACCCCGGCGAGGTCTTACCTGTGTGCAGAACTTGATCAGAACCATGTACTGGTTCGGGGTGGAGTCCCGTATGATCTTCATGTGCTCCATCACGTCATTGTAAGGTGCCATGAGCTTCATGAGGTCATGGCTGGTCATGGTCGCGGGGACGGTCAGGATGCACACCATCGCGCTGCGTCTCACGTCTTCAGTCAGCGACGTCATTTTACTGCGGCGAGACAGAAAACACGCGACCCGTGACAAAGCTGCAGGTCGCCTCTGAAGCTGATGGACACACGTGTTCACCTGTGACTCACTTGGTCTTGTAGAGGTGCATGATGCCGTGGATGATCTCCACTGAGGGGTTCCCGCTGAAGAAGGAGATCTGGTCTGGCAGCTGCTTGGAGGGGGAGTCGGGGGCAGCGCCGGTCGCCTCGCTGCCGTCCTGTGCGCCCTCGGTGCCCTCGGCGCCCTCCTGACTGTCTGCCTCCGTCCCTGCAGCCTGAGGTTCACCATCTGGGTCTTCACCTCCTCCTTTATCTGCAGTCACAGCGCAGTAGTTTGTTCAAACAGCATTCAGTGTGTTTACAGGGTAAAGCTGCTCGCTGATGGTCTGTATCTGAGGGTCTATGAAACCTATGAAAAGACTCAAACCAACAACACATCCTGCCCGCCTGCGGCTCTCAGATCCAAACACATGCTCGTGAAATATTTACGAACAAAGTCACGTGAGAATTCATTTGAAACTTCCATCAAAGCTGCTTTAGAAGACACCAACATTTGTTCTTCTGTATTTATAAAAGGGTAAAAACGTTTGACGTCACCCGCTGACTGGAGGGTCCACTGCTGCCGGTTCCTGGACGTAACTGATGTTAGATTATTTGTACCGTATTTAAATCAAAACCCTGATTGATTTTAGCTGCGACTGTTCCTGTTATATTACATTACTCTTATTATTCCTCTGGCTATTTCTTTCATTCTAACGCTGTTACTATTATGGCTCTATTGTAATTATCAAGATCGATATTGTACATTTTGAAATGTTTAAAAAGGTTTTTATACACGTGTGTATTCAGGCCTCTCTTGAAAATGAGATCTTGATTCAACAAAGGTTTATATAAATATATAATATAGGTTTTATATGCATAGATAACAGCAGTTAGTCGGACCAGTTCATTCTTGGTTTTTGTCTTTTCATGAGATTAGTTGACCCTGAGTAATATATGAAGGGTGACGTCACTACTTTATGTTTTTATTTATTAAAATCTGATGAAAAACAGGTCACATTTTTGTATTTTCTTTAAATGTTTGACTCAAATTCCAAACTTTCTTTAATTATTATGGCTTACTGCTTCGCTTTGAGCCGAGGTTGAACAGATTTTAGGGCTATGAATCGTTTTAAAGACGCAGACGTCACAATAAGCTCGAAGGCTTCAGACAGACTATAATGTGCGGACGTCTGAAAGTCTGACCTGGGCCGGGCTCAAAGGTTTCTATCACCATGTCGCCCATAGCTCTGCTCCCGATGTGCTGGTGCAGTACGGACACTCGCTCCAGGTCCGTCTTCCCACTCAGAGTGTGTTTGGCTACACACAGAGCTTTCTCCTGTAGCTCCTCATCGGACATGCCTTCTGCAGAGACCGAGCACAACGCACCAATCACAGTCCGACACATTATACAGCAACGGAAAGAAACACGTGGAAACATCGGAGAGGAGAAACTAAAAGGAGACGTCCATCTGAATGTAAAGAGAGATCATGAGTCGGCAGAATATCTCTCACTGTTAACTGTTTCTACTTTATTGTTTTAAAAGAAAGTTTATTCACACAGCACATTTAAAAAAAACTGTTTACCAAAGTTTGATCTGTAAACAAATACAAAATAAAAGACAGTAAGATCAAACATATATGTAGAAATATAAAGGACACATTGATGTAAAAACCAATAACTAATACAGGGAGTCAACCAGCAGACAGACAGACAGACAGACAGGTGAGGAGTCCTCAACCCTCTCCTGTCTGTCTGTCTGTCT